GCTTGACTTCATATATGAGTGTGCTGTTAGGCTGTGTGTGTGTGAGTTGGAGCTTGGTGTGTGTGAGTGTGTGTGTGTGTGTGTATTTATGGCTTTGCGTGCTTGTTTGTTGTTGCTTTCGGCCGTTTGTTGTGACGATTTTGGTATCAGGTTGCCTCGTTAGAGTTCGAGATAGATGCGAGACGAGAGAGTGAATGAGCTGAGTGTGCGTGTGTGTGCGAGTGTGTGCGAGTGTGTGTGTGCGTGTGTGTGCGTGTGTTGGTCCTGCCAGCCAACGTTTGTCGCCGCATTGCTTGTCAGTTGTTGTTGTTGTTGCTGTTGTTGCATTTTGCTTTGGCACTGATGCAACAAGGTTTAATTTTCCATTTCAATGCGCGGCGGCTGCGCTTTGGATTTTTACTCTCGTTTTTCATTGTGCCGGTTCGCTTCAGTTTCAAGCCTCAGCTTCATTTTTAGCTATAGTTTTGGCTTTAGTTTTAGCTACAGCTTAGCTAGTTATAGCTTGCGTTAACCGTAAGCGCGTTGCGGTTGATTATGCTCTGCTCCTCCTCCTCCGCGGACCACAAGCGTAACCGAAGCCACTCGCTGATTATGTGGATGACAGCGATGACAATGATGATCATAATGATGATGATTATGATGATGATAATTATGCTGTTGCTGGTGCTGATGCTGGCTGGCGTTATAATTATGCAGCTGCAGGCTAATGACCAAGTCGAAAGTGCGCCCAAACAAGCTGATTGACTGCTAGACACCCAGTAATCAGAACAAATAACAAGATCTTAAGTCTATTTATATACCAAAATTTAACAAGTGGGCTTGTGGGCGTAAATGCCCGACCAAGACAAATAACGTCAAATATACGAATCGATAATTATCAGATTTGGTGTCTATCCATTTAAAAATACATGACAGAGGCAAAAAATCGAGAGCTGGATCGATAAATATTGGCTTGAATAATAGAAGTTTATCTAGAGAGTGTAAGAAGAATTGTATTATACTCTCTGTGACTGTTAGAACACTTTAAAGGCGTATAGATGTTCTTTCAGAAAAATATGTTAGCTAGCCACAGAATATAGCTAGCTTTTTAAGTAAATCAGAGACAAGCTGCAACTGGAAAGCCTCCTCTTAGTCCGCCCATTTATTGCAGGGTATATACGTAATCATAAGGCTGCTGCTGTTGCTGCCTGTGGAGCATGGCATTTGTGGGGGCTACTTTTAAGCTGGCTCTGATGATGGGTCCCGGTGTGATCCATTTTGAGCATGACCAAGCTAATCTCTTGGCCAGCGTATTGTCAACAGCTTTGTGGGGGCTGATTGTGCCCGGGCTCTGCTTGAGCTATGCCAGGCCTTCCAAGATAGGCAACATTGTCGTCTGTCGACATCTTCCACTGGACATTTTCCAATCTGGAGCGTTGCAGTTGCAGTTGCAGTTGTTGTTGTTTCAGTTGTTGTTGCTGTTGCTGTTGCTGTTGCTGTTGCTGTTATGTGTCGCTGTCTGTTTGTCTGGCTGACTGCGTTTTTCGCGGTTTTACAACTTTGATTTCACTTTTCTTTGCAACATGCGACTTTGTTGTTGTTGTTGGTGTTGTTGTTGTTGTACCTTCACTGGCCGTTTTTTGAACTGTTTGCTTCATTGCTCTCGTTGTCGTCGTCGCTGCTGTCGGTCCGCTTAAACTTTGTTACTCTTTAATTGGTTTTTTTTTGCTGCCCGCTCCCCATCATCATCTTCTTTAGGCATCCGTTTTTTTTTTTTTCTTCTTTTTTCTTTTAATGATGATGCAGTGGCCGAGCGTTGGCCATAATTGTCAACCACTTTTGCACGTTAGCCACAAATTATAAACACATGGATATGCAATTCCATTTGAAGGAGTTTCTTGCAAGTGTTCGCTTGCGCTGTGCAAATTGAAAATTGAAAATTGTAGGGAATTTGTGTGTGAAATGCGCCCTGATATTGGCTTGTCTTTTCTAGAGCTGATTTCTGTTTGAGCCCGACTATTTTACACAATATATAAAAAGTTAACTATTACTATTATATACAATAACAATATACTATTAACTATAAGACTTGCACACATATAAATATTTTTTTGGTGAGGGAAAGTTTATGTAACGAGAGGAAACGTCTCGAAACATAAGAAAAAGATCTAGCCATCATGTCCATCTGCGTGATCTTATTGATTTCAGTAACTCGGATTTTTTTAGAATAGAGACTTGGACTTTGAAATATACATAATCCACACCCGGATGTATTCCAATAATATAAGTGTTGAAAGAGCTTATCAGAACTTCTCATATTCTCTTTGATATTGCTTCCCATTGACAAATATGGATTATAGGATGAGATTTTCCCAACATTACTTGAAAGTTCAAATAGCTAGAATTACCAAACTTGGTTTGTAGAGTATTGTATAGCTTACTCGGAGGAAGAACATATAACTATTTTTCTTTTACCGAAATTTAAAAAATTGTCTTAATTTCAATTTATTATCTGTTCTTTCCAAAATGTTGTATTTAAAAGTTAAAGCCTTGCTTTTTGGAATATGCAAAAACATTTTAGTGGCACATTTGTGCCCAGATATTTATAGCAAAAACTCCCCAAGCTGTCAGATTATAAATTTTGCAAATGTTGCTACCTGTAAAACTTAATCTTCGCTTACTAATTCTGAGTTTAGAAGTCCACACTACACTGCAATTGCCAACCTAACTGAGCCCAAGTAAAGCTCAGCCTTCAGGCATACCTTTACCTCTAATAACTTAATTATAGATGAGCACAGCTGCGCTGAGGCGACCAATCAAATTGATAGACAACTCTCATATGAAAGCTGTTCGCACTCAAGATCAGCCAGTTGAACAGCTCGAAATCGAGAGGCGGGCAGAGTGTTAGATGCTACATAAAAATATGAGTCAAGTTCAGATCGGAATGCTGCGACTAAGTATCTGGCAAGTGTCTGGCTTAGTTTTCAGATCGAATGCGATCTCTTAAGGCTTATGTCATCAGCGAAGCGGCCAACGCAAAAGTTCTCAAGCTCCAAATAGTTTTTCTTGTAATCTTTTGGTCGAAATAATTCAAGTCTTACAAATGGCTGAAAGCAGTAAATCAAAGCAGCAAATGCGGCTAATTAACTTTTAGGCCAAAGCAGCAACAAAAGGCAATTTGTTGTGCGAGTGTGCGTGTGTGTGTGTGTGTGTGTGTGTGTGTGTGTGGTGTGTGTGTGTGTGTGCGTCTGTTTGTGATGTGTGTCTTAAAGTCGCTAAATGCTGCACCAGCCCACGGAAAATGTCTCGTGAAAAATTCTGTTCTAGATAGCAGCAACTGTTGCAGCTTCATTGAACGCCTACAGTCGTAGTTGCTATACCCTATAATAGTTAACAAGCAGGGTATACTCGCTTACTGCAAGAGCCTGTTACGGGCAGTAGGAGGCAACTCAGACTCAGACAAAAGGCAGTTAATTTTTTGATCAAATCAAATAGCCAAGTCGAGCTAGCCAGCTCGCTGCTAGATACAAATCAAACTATCGGTTACTTTCGACAAATGTCGATTTATGAATGTATAAAAAATCAGCTAATTTTCAAATTAAAAGAAGAGGGGGAACGGTTTTGGTTTGATTCGCAGTAAAAAATATGTGTTAATTGAAATTCCGAGCTTACAGGGTATTTGTCGGTCGTGCACTCGAACCCGTTGCAGTTGCAGTTGGCATTGCAGTTGAGTCTGCCGACTGTCAGCGGCTTTGTTTTGGCTGCTGCCTTTTGGTTCACATGACTTGCGTGCCATCTGCCTGGAGGCCAAAAATCTGCCAAGAGCCAAAAGGCAGCTGCCAAGAGCCAAGAGTCAGCTTCCAACTGGCAATTGGCAACTGGCACACTCTTGGCTAAGCTGCAGCCTACGCAGCTGCCTTGCACGCACCTTTAAGTGGCGACCTCCATGAGGGCAGCTCCCCTGCACCCTGCTTCCGCTCCCTGCCCCCGCTACCCTGCCACCCACTGTGATAATGTGTACTTAGATGTTTGTCAGAGTGTGTTTTGTGTCTGTTTGTCTTACATAATCGTCACTCTAGATACCGTTAGCATTCGTCTTATATTATTATTTTTTTTTCTTTTTCTTTCCGTTCCAAAACATCACACAATAGAACAATTGTTTAAACTTTTGTAGCACGGCGGCTTTTGGCATTGCGCCAAAAAAAAAAAAAAAGAAAAAAACAAGAATAAAACAGAAAAATTCAAAGTGGAAAAAAAAAAGAAAAAACGAATAAAACATCAACTGAATTAAAATGTCGTCTGAAAATTGAGTTCTCTTTAGCATTAAAGCATAAAAGCATTTTTTACCTCCTCTTCTTGTTCTTGTTGTTGTTGTTTTTGTTGTTGTTTTTGTTGGCTTACATGACGTAGATGGGAATTACCCCGAGCTATCCAAAACTGGCACAGCTGTGGGAATTGAGCTGTGACGCACCTGAAACTATGATACTATATGTGCAAGTACACAGAAACAGAGCATTTAGTATGGAGAATGAATAATAATTTGATGAGCAAAAGTCTATTTTAAAAGCATTTGTTTGGCCTAAAGCAAATAAGCGCATGTCTAGTCTGCGGGCCACATACAAAATAACCTCTTATTCTCTTAGCCAACAGAATAAACATTTCGAGTTAGGAATCTGTTATTTAATCAGCTTAAAATGAAGAAGTTTATCATTTTTGGCTTGATAGCTCCGCCCATTTTCTGAACAACGATAAATATCGATTTTAAGCAAAACTCGAGGCATATAAGAGCTGATTATATTACATTTTGTATGTAGGTTCTTTTATAGTATATAAAAATTCTAAATAACTCACCTCATTTCCATCCAAAGATCGAAGATTAAACAGGCAAGTTCATCAAGAAGGGCAACAGAAGAATATGTTATAGAGCACATACCAAATATTTTTAAGATACAAATTATAAATAAAGAACTTGTAAATGAATTTGAATTAACTTTCCCTCTCTCGCTCTTCTTTTCTTACAGGTTTGTAAATTCAGCCTTTGACAATTTCTTAGCACGAGGCCAGCAAAAATAATCAAAATAACGAGAAAATAAAGAGAAAGAACAAAAAGAACATCAGCTGATCAGTTAACAGTTATGAGAGAGAAAGACCACTCACCAAGAAAGATGCTTCCTAGCCCAAAACAGGGCTGTGTTTACCCTGCCTTAGGATTAATACCCACATCGTATATATCACATGTACCTTATGATCTGTCCGCCTCGACGACGGCGGCCACAGCCACCAGCAGCATGACGACAACCGCAGCGCGACACCAGCAGCAACAGCAGCAACAACAATTGCTGCAACAACAACAACTGCAACAACAACAATCGCAGCCTGCCAACAAGTCGAAGCGACGCAGCAGCTATGATCAGCCGCTGGACCTGCGGCTGGCTCACAAGCGCCGGCAGGCCGGCAAGCTGGATGAGCTGGAGGAGACGTCCACAACGCCGCTGGAGGATGAGAACAGCAACTTGATACTGTTCGCCAATGAGCTGGCCGCGCAGCGCAAGGAGAAGGAGCTGAACAATAATCATATAGCCGCCTCGCTGGCGGATCTCGGCTTCGATATGAGCCGCAAGATGTTGCGCGCCCTGCGCGAGGGCGTGGCCAGCGCGCCAGCGGCGCCGGCGCCCAATGCCATGGTGGCCGCCGGCGTGCACTCGACGCTGCTGGAGGCGATGACCAAGACGCTGCCGCTGCAATATCGCAATGTGTTTGCGCCACCGTCGGAAACGTCGACGCCGCCGGAGTTTGCCTTTCGGCATCCGCTAAAACAGAGCGAGCTGAGCTGGACGAGCGGCAACGAGCAGCAGCGGGAGCGGGAGCAGCAGCAGCTAAAACTGGAGCTGGCTGGTAGCACACCGAAGCCCACGCCCACGCCGACGCCGCATCCACAGCTGCAGGAGTTCCAGTCGCGGCAGCACTCGCGCAAGGCCAAGCAGCGACTGGCCCAGAGCCAAGCCCAATCCCAGAACCAATCCCAAGCGCAGTCGCAGTCGCTGCCCGTGCAGCAGCAGCAGCAGCAGCGGAACAAGGATCGCTACACGTGCAAGTTTTGCGGCAAGGTGTTTCCGCGTTCCGCCAATCTCACGCGGCATCTGCGCACGCACACCGGCGAGCAACCGTACAAGTGCAAATACTGTGAACGTTCCTTCAGCATCTCCTCGAATCTGCAGCGGCACGTCCGGAACATACACAACAAGGAGCGGCCGTTCAAGTGCGAGATCTGCGAGCGCTGCTTTGGCCAGCAGACGAACCTGGACAGGCATCTCAAGAAGCACGAATCGGATGCGGTGTCGCTGAGCGCGCTGAGCGGGGTCAGCGAGCGGATGCACTGCATACGGCGCTTCTGCGAGAATCCCAGCGAGGAGTCCTACTTCGAGGAGATACGCACTTTCATGGGCAAGGTCACGCAGCAGCAGCAGCAGCAGCAGCAACAGCAGCAGCAGCTGCAGCAGCCACAGTCACTGCCATTGGCAACATCGCGCAGCTCCGCCTCGTCCAGCTGCTCCGCCTCGCACACGCCCACATCCTCGCATACGCCCACGCAATCGGAGTCGGCGGAAACGCTTACGCAGGAGCTGCGCCGGTTGCAGGCGGAGCGCGCCAAAACGGGCGAAGACAGCGGCGACGAGGCGCTCTCCAAGCAGCCCGAGCAGCCGGAACAGCAGCAGGAGCAGCGGCTGGAGACGGCGGCGGAGGCGGAGCAGTCCAAGTGTATAATGCAGCTCAAGAAAACGCTCGCCTCCAAACTATTTCCCACAACAACAGCAACAGAAGCAACAGGAGCAGCAGAAACGCCCTCGGTCAAGCAGGAGCCCTGAAGCCTGGCCTGACATTCCGATCCCAATCCTGAAACCAGATGAAACAGAATATGAAAAACAATTTCCTATATGGTAGAATCGAGCAAACAAACTATTTGCAAATCGTATATACTATATACATTTATAATTCATGTTTAGTTGTAAATATATATATACATATCTATATGCATATATTTTATATTTTGTATTTTCTAATTTTAATGTGTATATCGAATTGTACAAAAACAGAAAAACAGAAAAAATAGCTGAAGATTGGCAAATGTACTATATCAATTTATGTGCGTAGTTATTTAAGCATTGGTAATTTTTTTGTATATATACAAAGCGACACGTGACACACGAGGCAAAACAAGCGACCATTGTTTAATAAAAAGTTACAAGTTTTTTGAAATTTACTAAAAAAAATATGACTTTTTGAAAATCATTCACGCGCCACCTGGTGAACAATATGAAAATAAAAGGTACGACATTGAGGCGCCATCTAGTGGGATTGCGAACGACCTGCCTTGGCAGCTAATTTGAAAGCGTTCAAAATGCCCGCCTTATGTCAGGAAAGTCGACGCGCAGCCAACATCACACTGTGCGTCACTTGAAGTTGGCTGCGCTTATGCTAATTGCTCGATTTGTCTGTTTAAATTGCAACATCTGTATTTTTTGGTTATTATTTATTACAGAAAAGCGTAATAAAAAAACTTATATGTTGTAGAGAACGTTACGGTGCTTTTTTTTGTGTTTTCAAGTAAAGCTTCGATATTAAGAATGCAAGTTTTCTTGTGACTCTATTTTGCCTACAGTTATTGCAGACAACATTTTGTACTCACTGTTATTAACATTTAAGTGAACTGTTAAGTTAACAGACGATCTGCAGTTGTTATGTTAATCGCAACCGGCGACGGGCAGAAGTTATCTCTCATTTTAAAACCAGCTAACTTACCCCGCCCTGCCACGCCTTTAATCCGTTCATTATTCAACAAAACGTGAGCAATTTAGCTTATCTCGATAAACATTTACTTACCTACTGTAGATTGCTGTTCCAGATGGCGACCGGGTTGACAACAATCACGGACTTGGCGGAGCTGCGGGAACTGCAGGAGCTTCACCTGGCAGACTGGCCCAAGCACTGTGTGGCCTACTTCTGGCTGGACAACTATTTGCGTTGGCTGGAAACAGATCCTTTGACCAAGTACTTAACATTCTACACGCTCGATGGAGATTGGCGTCGCGATGGACTCTTTATCCTGGTGGTTTGTATGTGATGCATATCCAATATATATTATAACTAACGTACTCATCTCCACTAGCATCGTTATCAATTGTTCTTCAGCAATCTGAGCCGGCAAAAGACACCGGAACTGCTGTCAGTTCTGACCCTGTTGGACTGGACTAATGGCTTCAAAGTGAGCGCCATACACGAGACGCACCATCGCGCCTACAAGCAGCTGCTGGCGGAGCGTCGACTGGTCATGGATCGTGAGATGAAGACCGTTATGTATCATCTGCCCTGCGAGCAGGCCAAGGCGCTGCAACGGAGCTGCCCGCCGGGCTATTATCTGGACGATGTGCGGCTGGAGCATGCAGGGCTCATAAACGACCTGTGGTCAGCGCATCATCCAGGCTCGTTGAAGCTCGTAGAGATGCTGATCGAAAAGAATGGCAATGTGGGACTGTATGAAGAGGCGACAGGCGAGCTGTGCGCCTGGTGCCTGAGGTAGGTCATCTATGATGAGTGTCTGACCATGTCCATGAAAGCCATTCCCTTTGGCAGACTGCAGAGCGGCTTCCTGGGCGCACTCGAGGTGCTCCAGACGCATCAGCGCCGCGGACTGGGCCTAGTAGTAGCCGCCGCCATAGCCAAGCGTATAGCCAACGACCTGGAGCACGACGTGACAGCTCTGGTTAATCTGAACAATGAAACCGCCCGCAAAGTTTTTGATAAATTGTTATTCACGCTGCTCGAAGGCGAGCACTACTACTGGAGCATGTGTCTGCCCGAGTCTGGGGGATTATTAAATTGGCCAGCCAATACGTAGCAGACAGCATTCAAGCTATGTGATATCTATCGCCATATAGCGTTAAGCTTAGGCAGATAAAGTACTATCTTACCCAGCCAAGCGCCATATATAAAACCGAACATTCAAAATATTCCATACTGTCGCAAGGTTTCCGTTCAGCGAGCAACTGACTCAGCGATGCAGCTTCAGACTGTGGGTATTCAAGGGCTGCGGCAGCTACAGGCTCTGTACAGGCGCGAGTGGCCGAAATACTGTCAGGAATTCGCAATCCTAAAGAATCTCATCGCCTTTGACAAAGTTGAGCCTGGCATGAAGCATGTGAGGGCGTACAGCCTGCAGGATCCACAGGCTCAGCGGCTGGGTCTCTTTCTGATTGTGGTATTTATGAGCTGTGCGCTGCGCTGGAATGCAGCATTCATCCTTGTGCCTTTCTAGGATCGCTATCAATTGTTTGTCGGCTGCCAGGGAGAATCGTTGGATTTACTGGCACAGGCGCTGCACCTGCTGGACTGGTCCAGTGGCATGCTATGCACTTCCGTGCCGGATCGTTATATTGAGACTGTGTTGCAAGTGATGCAGGAGAAACAACTGGTTATTGAATTTCATCATTTGAGCGATATATACCACATTCCAGCTAAGCAGGCACTGCAGTTTCACGTGGAGTAGGTTATCGAGATTTAATTCGTCTATTCCATCTAAACCTTCTCTTTCTACAGCTGTCCAAAGGGCTTTCAGCTGAAGTCCTTAAGTGAACAGGATGCACACCTCTTAGACCAGGAATGGGCCTACAGCCATGAGGGTTCCCTGTTCTTTATACAGCGCCAGATACGCTTGTGTCCCAGCATGGGCTTGTACGATGAGGACACGCAGCAGCTGGTGGCCTGGTGCATAAGGTATATTAGGTGGCATCTCTTGAAAACGAATTTCTAACTGAACCAACCTTTTCTTTCAGAACACAAGATGGTCTCCTGGCCACTTTGCATGTCCAGAATGCATACAAGCGGCGCGGCTTTGGCAGCCTCATAGTCCGCGCACTGGCCCGACGCATTGCCGACTTGGGAGACGATGTTACCGCCGAGATTTATGCCGAAAATATACCGTCTGTGAATATGTTTAATAAATTGGGCTTTCGAGTGATCGATCAGTGCCATTGGCTCAACATTGCGCCTGCCGCGGGCAGCTTTACCTGGCCAGAGGGTGAATAGGTTATTGAAAGAAATTTTAGAGCTATAAAAGATTAAATATAGTATGTATTAAAGAGCGCTATTTTAAGCGCGTATAAGGAACAGAATCGATGCCATGGTGGTTTTTAATGTGCCTGTAGACATCTCCGATACCATATGTATGCCTAATCAGCCACACATTGTTCTCTCTCCTCCCACAATACTAAGAACGACCCTCGCAAACGAAACGCTGAGTTTAGGTGGAAGAGAGCAGTGTTAGAGATAAATGTAATGGTTCATGAGTCTCTCTCCCTAGCAATGCTATTTAACGCACATGTTTCGTATAATTCTCTTCAGTTTGTCGGGTTCGCTTGCGAGAAGACGTCACTCCGTATAAAATGCCGCTCGAATTGGAACCGGTTAACCTTCAGCAGCTGCAGAGTCTCCAAACGCTTTATATCCAACAATGGCCCAAATATTGTGCCGAGTTCTACTGTCTCGATAATTTTATACGCTTTTTTAAGAACGATCCACAAATTCGAAATATTCGGGCCTACACGCTGTCCGCGCAGCAGGCCAAAGATGCGGCGCTCTTTGTGATTCTGGTTAGTCACGATAGTTAAGAGTTGGACTAGTTTAACATATTATTTATAACACTTAGGATCGTTATCAGCTGTTCGTGGGCTGTTTGGACAATGCCGAAGAGCTGCTGCAGCAGGCGCTGGGTTTGCTCGACTGGTCGACGGGACTCAAATGCAGCTCCATACCAGCTCGACATATTGAGGCGCTCGATTGCGTGGTCCGGGCGAAACAGCTGCGCTTGGAGTATCGTGACATATGCAATATGTACTATATGCCACAAAACGAGGCGTCTGAACTTAAAGTTGAGTAAGTTTTGCCTTTAGCCCAAAAGTTGCCGAATTCGTGTAGCTAATTTATATAGAGTTGCTTAGCATACCTGATGGCTTCTGTGTGAAGAGCCTCAGTGAAGAGGATGCAGAACTGGTTAACGAGGAGTGGCCCAATCACCATGTGGGTTCCTTGTACTTCGTGCAGCGACAAATTCGCCTGTGCGTAAATGTCGGATTATATGCAACAGATACTCAGGAACTGGTGGCCTGGTGCATCAGGTGAGCAACTAAAATAATATTTAAGAAAAAAGAGTAGTTATAAAAAAAAACCCTAGCTAAAATTGTACAGTTGATATTAATATAAGTGCAGGAGTTATTCAGGCAGCGCTAGACGTTAGATTAGATTGAGCAAAGATATAGCTAAAGATTGCTTATCAAATCATGAATACCCCTAAGGCTTAGTTCAATTTATGAGATTCGCATAGAGAGGCTAACTAAACGAATTCTTCCTCAATGCGTATAACATAATAAGAGCACCTTCCGCGAGACTTAAACTAGATAATATCGAAAGATCTTCACTTACAGGCTACAAGGCGGCTTTCTGGGCGCACTGCAGGTGAGGAGCACGCACAAGCGTCGCGGCTTTGGCAGCTTGGTGGCCAAGGAGATGGCCAGACGCATTGCCGCCTTGGGGCAGGATGTGATGGCACTTGTAAATCCAGAGAATCAAGCGTCCAACGGCATGTTCGATAAGCTAGGCTTTAAAGTAATCGATCAATGTGTTTGGCTGAGAACTGAGCCTGTGGCAGGAGAGTTTACGTGGCCGGATGGGCAGTAAATGCCCCTGTCCATGCCCGGGCCCTAGCTTTATGTATAATACATAAATTACATTCATTATAAATATAATATACGATATAATAAAACACTACGACTATTGTATATGAATACAACTTTGGTATAAAAATATGCCGGGGCCTGCTCATACGCCTGTCTGGGCCTGGCACTGGGATTGCAGCTGCTGCCAGAGACGTTCGCAGCGTTCGTGCAGCTGGGCCGGACTCTGGCGCACACTCGGCTCTTGCAGCATGTCTTGGAGCAGTTGGCGCACGCACTCGAGATCGTATTGCACATGGTAGGCGTTCATTTGATATCTGTCAAAAAGTAATTGGCTGTTGTTGGTCGTTGTCTGGGTTTGGTCTGGCTTGGGCGCCAATCGGGCGTCCAATCGGCGGGCGGCTATGAACTCCAGAAGCTCTATAAAATCGAGGTAGTTAATGCCAAAGCTGGCGCGCAACATCATTTGGCAGTGCGCCTCAAAGTTGTCCATTTGCTGGCAATCGGAGATCTCTCTGTGCACGGCCTGCATATTGGCGAGCAGATTGCGCCACACGAGTGGCACGTTGCACGCATTGAACCAGTTCTGATTGACTGAGATGGTGTCCGTCATGTTCCACACTTGATGGTACCAGCCACTGGGCACGAACACCGCCTCGTTGGCCGTCTGATTGATGGTAAAATAGCGCACCGCGTGCTGCTCCAGCAGTGCTTCATCTATGCTAAATGGCAGATTTGCCAAAGGATCCGCCAGCTTGAGCTCCTCGCCAGGCGGCATTATGAGCCACTTCTTGTGTCCCACAATGTTGGTTGACCAGCTGAAGGAGCCAAACACATCCGAATGGAAGGACGTCCTAAGAAGAGAGCAGGATTAATGGAGGAGTTGCTTTTGGCCAGCTGCCACTTACCAGGAGTCCTTAGGTCCCATGTACACAAAGCGATAATCGTCGCGCTTTTCTGCGATGAGCTGCTCGTTCAGCCAGTCGGAGGCAAAGTACTTGGGCACCTGATAGAACTCGTATGTGGGCAGCAAAGCGGCCAGATGCCAGTCCTTGAGGTAGAGATTGTCCTTGGCCACATTGCTGTTCGTCTCCTTTTCCGGCACATGTCCATGCTCCACGCTGCGCTGCCAGCGCTCCAGAAAGTCGTGGAACTTCAGCTCCAGCTTGGCGTGGCTATTGAAATACGTCGCATTGCAGTCCGCGACTGGCACAGCGAGATCGCCAATGCGGCTCCTGAGGTAGTCAAAATTAATGTGGCTGTGGGTTGGGCTATTCGCATTCCTGTTGTCCTTGTCTTGGTCCTTGTCCGTCTCCCCGGACTGCGCCCAATTGCGGCACTCCCATGTGTTGGACACGTCCGTGATTATCACGGGCCAGTTGGAGTGCATGTAGCGCCAATAAAATTCGTTGTAGCTCAGCTCTTTGGCGTGGCGCCTCTGGACAGCGCCATTATCCACATCTGATTGTGGTGGACATTGTATGGGTTGCAGCGCCAGCAGCTCCGGCGCTGCCTTTTCTGACGCCATGTCAGAAAAAAACAAAACAAAAAAATGTAAACAAAATGTTACTTGAGATTTAAGTGTGCTATAAGGTCATGCACAAAAGTGCGCATAGCATTTACTCACCTTCAGTATGTTAAGCTGCATAACATATTCTTAAAACGCAATAAGTTAATTTAGGTAATAAAATATATGTAAACTACATATACCAATTAGTCAGAGTTAGCTATAATAATAAGTTGATATTCTGATATCCATCTTATAAAACAGTCTTCTGATGAAGAAACAAAATAGACGGAAAAAATTTAACAAAACATGTTGAATAGTAGAGTATAAGTATAAATATTATAAAAAGTATTATAAAGTAAGCTGATAACTATAAAAAAAATAACTGACATTATACAAGCAAACATAATAATACATATCTAGTTGAAATTATTTAACAACAGCAGAAAACCATTTCCAACCGCATGTAGCTTTTTGTGACGTCAGAGGCATTCAGTTGTCGGCTCATCTCTCCAAAAAGTAACTGCGCGGAATAGATAGATACATAGATATTCAGTCATGCTCAGTGAGGAGCAATTCTGAAAACTCTATAATATTACTGTTAATGTGCTGTCTACTGACTTGCTCTAGCTGTTTCGTGTGGAGCAATAATGTTAACTGAAAAAAACATACGCTCAACCGTTTAGCCTGTGCACAAACCACTTAAATCGGTCTCACAAACCAGCAAAGGATTTTTTTACATTAGGTTTTAAGTGAAAGAGAATTAATTTTATTTTACTGCATTCTGTTTTCGATTTATTGAAATTTATTTGCTAAACATTTTACCCATTATCAAGTTTTAACTACAATTTCGATTTTACATACAATATGTGTATTTTTTCATATATGCAACAACTCAAAAATCGTCGCGCTTGAAGATTTCAAATTTAAGGTTTCCGTTTTTATGTGTGGGTTTGTTTGTGTATAATTTGCATCAAGTTCTATATATATATATATATATATATATATATATATATATATATATATATATATATGGTATATATATGTATAAACTTTACAGATATTTTATGCTCGCGCCTCATAGGCAAACATTTAGCCTAAGAACTAACGCTCGACTAACAACTTACTAAGATACAATATAATAATAATATTTAATTTAATTTAATTCGCTAGAAAACTATATAGGTTAATAAATTATAGAGATGTGTGGGTGTGACTGTAGGTAAAAATGCTATGTACAGGATACATACAAAATCGTATAAAATACGTCATAAAAAATTGTAACAATAGCTTTTGTTTTTGAGATTTGCATAGAAAATGTACAATTATTGAATTTACTTTATTTATTTCATTATGTATATTTATTTACTTAAGTCTACGCACATTTGACTAGATTTTCTTTTATTAATTTTTAAGTTTTAGAAGGTACAGAGATACTGACAGAGTTTTTCATTTGTTTTTAATATTTCTTTTTCTCTTATAGTCCGGATGAAGGGTATGCGGGGTAAATAGATAGAGTATCGCATTGGAAATTGTTAGACCAAATTATATACAATTATATGCGTGGCATGCACTTGAAGCTAATGCCACGCCCACTTTGCTTACTGGCTAATTTAGTGTGTGGTACGCTATTTAATCGTTCAGTAGTTATTTATACAACTGCTTAAAAAATTGAACAAATTATTTAATAAACATTTAATTAACGCCCGGCTTAGATGCGCAAAGCTTTCGGTAATTCTCATTAATTTCCTATATAGTATATGCATATATTATAATTATATTAATGTAGTTTTTAATTTAATTTAAGTGTATGCTTTCCCACTTTTCAATATTTGCATTAGCATTAATCTAAGAAATTAATTTAATTTTATATTTATTACATACTTGATATGTGGTTTTTCGTATAAACAACTAAATAACTCAAATTGGAAACGTATAATAATTATTTATTTACTTTATTTAAGGTTTTTCTTTTTGTTTTTCTTTAGCTATTTTCGTGTTGGTCCAGTTGAAAGTCGCAATGGGGTTCATCGAATTTCATATGGGAGTTGGGTAGTTCAGACAGAAAACCTTTAATTTAGCTGCTTGCAGTTGTCGTAAATAATGCTCAACAATTTCTTTATAAAGTGTGGGTGTACTCTTTCCTTGGCAGTCTGTAGATTGTCACAAAACTCAACAAAAATTCGAGAGGTTCAGATAGAACTTAGCAGAAGAACTAGCCAAATACTTACTTAGTAATATATATATACTTAAAGCTTATACAAACCATAGCTATGCCAGCTTATATAACTAGAATGCAAGTTTATTATTTTAATATTTAATATTTCTATATTGTGTATTTCAATTTTATATGCAGCAAAATAAATACTCGTTGCATGCACCGACTGGCCTATTGTACAACCTCTTTGGATTTACTGCCTAGATTTAATTAGCTGGAAGTACAATTGTATGGATCGTCAGTGCGGAAATTGGGATGATCCTCGTAGGGCTTGACGCCTGCTGCCTTCTTATCATCACGTATTTTCTCCACTTGCTGCATGACGCGCAAAAAGTTGCCACCAGCTAATTTGGTAAGCTCGTCGATGGTCCAACCACCTCCTAAGAGTTCCGCAAATAGAGTGGGATACGAGGAGACATCCTCCAGGCCTTTGGGTGTGCTGCAAGAGTGCAGAGGAAAACATATATATTTATATATATATATTAGCTAAATAATGTTGTTGAAGACATCAAGCTTAAGGGTGTCGGCTCAAATCCAGCTGCAAGTTCATTTTCTTCAAAGTCGTTCCAGGAGGTTGTCGCGTTTCTGGCACCCCGCGCAAAGCCGGTTAATTTCCGCTTGTATTTAACAATTAAATCCATTCAAATTGCTTTAGGCAAACAAAAGATTTCTCGTATACAATTCCAACATTATACTCGATTACATTTGATATGCATTTGGCCAAATATTGCCATAAAAATTAAGTTAAATGCAAACCAGAGGCAAAATGCGGCCCGGGCACTGTTTGGATAATAAAGCAGGAAAGGAATTTGTGTAACTCACAAACACAGTCGAGCACAAATAAATACCAAGCAAAACAATGGCAAATAAATAATAAATTAATATTTCTGGTCGCACTTTGAAAGGAAGTACAAATAAATAATAATTTACTGTTTAGGGCACGTTTAAATGACATGGAAATGTTATGTATACGACCATTAAGCCATATACAGGGTGTTTGCTAAAAGGAGCACTGTCTGACAGCCCTTTAGAGGGTATCGTAATACTTGTGCGTAAATGTGTAAAGCATCGATTATATATATCTTGATATATCTCAAAAGAGGCTTTCCGTTTCACGAATTTTTGCATATGTACTTCTATCTGGCTGGATCGGACGATTATATCAGATAGAAATAATTGGCTGAATCCAATCCAATTACACATGCCTCAGGGTTTACTTTAGTTCACTTTCTGTGGCACCCTGTTTATTTGTATTTGACTTGTAATAAATATTTGAAGCATTCCTCAAAACAGCTAAAACACAAAACCATTTATGTCATTTGCCTTTGTTGTGCAATTTCTGTTCTGTCTTTCATTTTAATTTCCTATGTTGAGTTCTGGATTTCCTCTGCGGTTGCGCCTCCAAAACCAAGAACATATTTCAGTTTTCAGTTTTCAGTTTTCTAATGCCATTTGCTGTGCATTTCCACATTGTTTGTGTGCACAAATTAATATCACTCATTTGCGGTTATTGCCAGCACTTTAAATTCAATTCGCATTCCACATGGTATATTTATCACAATAATCACGCATTAAAAGTACATTTAATTAACAATATGAAGGAAATGCTCAAAGATTCGGTCTAACGAAACTGAAACACCCTTCGCGGGTGGCTGCATTTAAAAGCTCTTCAAATTGATGCTAATTTATTGAATGATAAAATCAATTTTCATACGAAAGCTATGCGAATTATTACTATGACACTTATCTAATATATATATAGTTATTGTTATGGAATACATTATATTTATAATTTAAGGAGGTTCGATCCGTCAACTTGATGCTCAGCTCACTCAGTTCATCATTATAATAAAGTTTACTATCAAATGGCATTAAAACAAATTCTGCCTTTGATTCAATTTGACGTGAGTGTCAAAAATGTAATTTGAGTATTTTAAAGTGGTTAAAAACTAATAGTTAAACTGTACTTAAGTATACTAATAGGGTATATACTAATAGGTAAAGCATACCTAAGTATACGTATAGGGTATTTATAGCTAGCCTTTGGCCGTTTGCAGCAAACAAAATTAGTACAAGAGACTTAAATTGCAGCTAAAGTATTGCATAAAAGTTGTGCTAACTTGACGTTGGCAGAAGTTTAAGAAAAGTGGCAACTTTGTACGAGCATTGCACATTGACAGAGGAGAGCTGACAGCTAAATCAATATAATAAAAAAAATAATAAAATAAAACAAGCCAGCAGGCAGAGAAGACATTTATCTTATATAAATGACATGCCTCATATTTAAGTACAACAACTTTTGTTTTGTTAGTGTATTTTGTAAGCCATTGAAAAAATGTGGTGTAAATATGCGATAACCTGGCCGAAACTATGAAAATGTGGCAGGTGTCATTGAAGTGCCGCGGAATGCAGCATTAAAACAACACGGACAACAGCAAAAACAGCAACAAAAACGACAACAACAACAACTCTGGCAACAATTCAGCTTCAATTGTTGCTTGTTTAACGCATTAAATTTTGGGCCCAGGCAAAAGCTCTGGCATGTTGCGCTAAGCGGGGCGAAGGGCTTCAGCCGGAAAAATACCATTTGACATTTTGTAATTTCATAGAATTTTAGATTATTTATTGTGAAATACTCGGCCGTTGTGTGTGTGTGTGTGTGCGCTGTGTGTGTGTGTGTGAGTGGCCTATAAATATTCATAAGCGCAATTTCAGTTGTTTTTTGTACTTTTCTTTTTTGTTTTTTTTTTTTTTGTTTTTCGACCAACACGAAATGAAGTTCGTTTCGTTTTGGAAATTGATTTACATGAAAATTGTTGTTGCACATTTTCATATGCATGTAACATTTTACAGCCAAATGCGGCTTGTTGCGAGCTACAAAAACTGTGGCATATACTACAAATATTTATTTGAAAAACACGCAAGAGAACTGAGAGGAAGAGACGAGAGGGGGGAAGGGGGTTAGGCGGAGACAGCGATCTGAGCAGCGTTCTATCAAATTTCGTGGCTTGTTTGGTTTCCAGAAATAAAACGCAGCGGAACGAAAATAAATGCAAATCTTGCGGTTAAAAATATAGTGGACGCTGATGATGATAAAGCTGATGAGCAAAGCGGAAGGCTATGTCTGGAATATTTGTATCCATCAGACATATTAGTTTTTGTCCATTTAATGCCTGTAAAGTACAGCATTCAAATTTGATTGAAACAGTTTTTAGACCCTGGCCAAGGGTATTATAATTTTGTCAAGTAATATGTAACGCATCGTCCGTCCGCCCTTTCAGGCAGAGCGGCCAGATCGGATCATTATATAGCATATCTGCCAAAGGAACTGTCGGTCGAGATATCTTGACCAAACTTGGCTTTTAAAGGTTTTACTATGCTCCTCATATATATTCGAAATTTGATCAATATTTGATCACTATATAATTTTCTTGTTATATGTATATATTTATTTAAATATTTACTTTATTATTAAATACTTTCAGATTTTTTCTTCAACTTTTTATTTTTCATAAGGCTTAATTAGTTGGATTTCTTTAAGTTGGTTCATGGCTAGATCAATTTTTATAGCTCAAAATTCTAATATTCTGCATTTCTATATTCAAAAGCGAAAAACAATAGGATCACAGAATAAAATATCTTGCGTATAAGAACTATTGAAAATCCTGATCAAAGTTACTAAAAGAGTTCTATTCACAATAATAATCAGCATGAGGAATCTTTATTTCCAGAGCAGTCCAAAGCAGTTCAGATCACGCAATATTTTAAAGCTTTGATTACGAGTTTTAAAATACGAAAATCTATATGGCGATACGGCCTTTGTATATTTTATATACTTAATTAATTGATTAACAACAGATTTAAGTAAGGGCTTTAAGTGTCATTAAACATATATAAGTCTATAATTTATTAAAATAAAATCATGTAATACTCAAAGTTGTTGCTGTGCTGAATAAATACATCAGCCAATGGGCACCTGAGCTAATTATTCGCAGCACGACGAATCGGAGACCCTAACGAACCGCAATATGAATTGGCAGCCGCAATATGCCAATGTTAAGCTGCTCTACTTAAATAGAATCAATTAATAACTTAAAAACCACCTGAACAGAGAGAGAGAGAGAGAGAGAGAGAAAGACAGAGGGAGACAGGAAGTACTCCTCGATTACAGTAGAAAGAGTCTCTGCGGAGGAGCATGAAGCTGTAAAGCGTTGAGCTTGTGGCCAAGGGAAATGCGCATTTAAGTGAAATAAATGACTTTTACTTACTAATTAATGCCGTCGTAGCCGGCGCCGAGGCCAACGTGATCGATGCCAGCGACGCGCTTAATGTGATTAATATGCGCTGTGTGTGTGCGGGTGTGTGCGAGTGTGTGTGCGAGTGTGCATTGGTCAACAGGATATCGAAGGACAGGGTTGCCATCACATCATTCGGTCGTCGTTGTTTTGTTGTTGTTGTTGTTGTGGTTGACAAGTTCATTAGGGTCCATTGTTGTTGTTGTTGTTGTTTCCATCATCGTCATAAGCCGTCGTTATTAAAATTTCGCAAATTTGAAATGTGTCCAGGCCGAGAGACAATGCCATGAAAAGCCAGAAAGAGAAGAAAGCAAATCACGTGACATTAGACAATTGCACAATAAATAGAACCGCAAACCAAAAAAGGCAAAAGACAAAAGTGCTTTAGTCGGTAGTGTCCGACTAGGAGATATCCTGCATCTAGAAAGGATATATATGCATACACGCATAACTTGATCCTTTAATGGATCCTTGCGTAACTCGAATGCTTATAGTCCGATCCACGTGCAGTTTTCAGCGCCTTTATATGGCATACAATTATGTGCATATACCAAAGCAGAAGACTATGAATATTTATCACATTTTGAAGGCAGCTTGGGTATTTATACGAAAAAAGAAATATTCTCCATCTGAAAATACTGCTTATAACAGACTTCACATAACAAGCTTAGCTTAATGCAAGTTTCAGAAGAGATATTGATACAAATGATAAACTCACTTTGCTTATTTTAAATGAGAATATAATTCTGAAATTTTAAGCATCCTTTTGCAGCTTCTAATATCAACAGACGCGTACAGACTTTGACCGACAGCTTGTCTGCTTCACTGACAAAATGTTAATACCCCCTGCCTGGTTTAGGGTAGCACCAACTGACTTGTGTAAAAGCCAATGAAACAGGAAGTGATTACGTCCGCCATTTTGATGGCGTGTCAAAAGCACTGGCTTAAAAAGATGATGCCGAAGAAGAAGCCAAGAGGCAATAATGAACTAGCTGAAACAATGGCCTGACAATAAGTGGTGCCAGAAATGTTTGTGGTGCTGGTGGTGCTGTTGGTGGGTTTGTGCTGCCACAAACACCACTGAATTGTCTTTAATTGTTTTTGATTGGGCCTGCAAAAGGCACATGAAAATGTCAAATTTGAGTATTTCCCTGCAAAAAAGGGGCAGCCAAAATAAGGCAAACTAAATGGCATTTTCTTGAAATATTTAACATATTTAACAAAACTATATACTAATAAAAAACAAATAAGTTTAAGTGAAAACTTACCGACTGCATCCTGTACGGTGGAATTGTCGCTGCATGACAAAAACTTCGAATAAAAGTTGACCATGACGAGGCCACCATTTTTGGCCAGCGATTGCAGTATATCGTCCTGGACATTGCGGCTCGTATTGCACAGCTCGTAGGCGGAGGAGTGGGAGAAGATGACAGGCGCCTCGCTCACCTCGAGAGCGTCGCGCATGGTGCCCTTCGAGACGTGCGACAGATCGACCATCATGCCCAGACGATTCATTTCGCGTATGATTGTCTGCAAAGAGCAAAAAGAGAGAGAGAGAGAGGGCGAATTGGGGGGAGAGTCGGAATTAATGAAAGTTCGTTAGACAGTGATTAGAGGCGGGTCAGCAGGCATTTATGGTGACTGGCCTTAAATTGCTTTCATATCAAAATGCTTTGCCATAAACTAAGCCCATGTCATAAAACAAAAGTAATGAGCATTGAGTGGAGCCAGCGACCAGAAGGACCACGAGGACCACAAGGACCACAAGGATAAGCAAACAGTTTCATTATGCATGTACTTTTATTTAACCTTTGACTGTCGCACAATGTCTAAGTAAATTGATATTGCTCTCAGTCTCTATCTGTGTGTGTTCGACTCTCTTTGTCTTGCTGTAATTTGTATTTATGCGCGGATTTATGGGCGCTGCTGTGGGTGTGCGTGTGCGTATGTGTGCAGCTTACGTAATTACTAATCTGATGCAAGTTTAGCGCAGTTACATTTGGTGCCACAAATTATGAGCAAATTAATTACACTGCGAGAGATTAATTTCAGCTGGGCGATGCTAATCGGTCACACAAAGCATGCTTTAAATGCACAAATTACGCATTCCAAGGGCAGCACAAGCATATTGATATCAGCTCAATAGGTCAATAGTCAGGGCGATCTATTGATAAAACAACATTGGAGCATGATTAAGATATTTGAGGCAGCGGGGGCATTCAGTTTGCTTAGGCCTTCTGTTAGCAAAACTTTTCATATGCCTGACTAAATCAAATATGATGTTATAAGAACTTCAGAATGAAAACTTATATAAGTTGCTTAACGAAAGTAAGTATGCTTAAGGAAATAATCAGATATTTACTTATATACGTGAAGGTAAATATGTCATCCTTTTCTTAAATTAGTGTTAGTTTATCTCGTGCAATTAAAAAAAATAAAATCAGACAGTCAATCAATCAGTCAACCAAATTTACAATTATAAATGGAACACACTCTCATTAAATGCAAGAATCAATTTCAGTTGTTTTCAGTGTATTTTATGTGCGATGCCGTTTCGCAGATAATTTTTAATTGCAGTTTCGCGTCGAGTAGGAGTTGCCAGAGGCGGCGGCGGAGAGCGAAAAGGGGAGGAGGTGTTGGATAAGCTCTAACCATGGAGTCAATAGTCAGACGGGCGACTGTTTATTTGTGGCAGTTGGCCTTAAATTAGCTAACAAATTGCAGTTGGCCAAAATGCTCAATTGCCACGATGCGTGTGCACTTAACGGGCGTGGCATTAAAGTCGAACAGTAAACACGGCCAAAACTAATTGGAAGCATGCGTGTGTGCGTGTGTGAGTGTGCGAGTGTGTGAGTGTTGTGTTCCAGAAAATGTGTATTAAATGCTTATTGTCGCCTAATTACGCACACACACACACACACACACACACACACAGACAGATAGACAATGGCACACGAAATGGCAAATGTGGGCGGCTCAAGGGCCTGGGGGCTGCTGAACGATTGGGGCGTGGCTTTGCTGCGCATTAAATCTTAATTAACGGTGCATACAAACGGCTTATACAACTGTCAGTGCTTATGTATGCGTCTGTGTGTCTCTGTCTGTGTGTGTGTGTATTCACTGAGCTGTTTACAGCACTCGAAGCAGTAAATTAAAATTACCAAATTATTTGGTGATTAATTGCCAAAGGCCATGGCAAATAATTTGCCAAACGTTATTTATATTTATTTCTGATACACATACACATGTACACACATACACAAACACATACACACACACACACATATGCCTGGTCTGGCATTAAAAATTGCACGTTTCGCAGCGTATTTTGCATTTAATTAAACAATCATAATAAATATAATCAATTCAATTGCAATATATTTTTATTTATTTACTTTTTTTAATTCTTTGCACTTTTTAATTGCACTTTTAATTGAGCCTATTATGGTGCAACACGGCGTATGCTTAATGCTTAATGCTATGCCACGCGCAAATGCAGATAAATAAACGTGTAAATAAATAATTTACTCTTAATGCATTTGCAGCCTGGGCCGCTGTTAAATCGACACCAGCTAATGATAATAACACCTGCAATTGGCAGAAACTACTCAATTTTCTATTTACAAAATGTACTTAAGACATTTACTCAAAATGGGACACTTTAAATAATTGATACGCCTTTCGAAATGAGCTCAAAAAGTATATGATGAAAGCCCAATCTGACGTAAATTATTACAGAAAAATATGCCCCTATAGGTGTGTATACTTATGCCCTGTATCGTGAAGGCGTAAAGGCATACAAAATTGTATTCAATTTGGCTGAGATTCTTAAATGTAAATACCTTTAAAGTATCTTAAAACAATACGTTCGACCGTGACCATATTTTCCATTCAGAAATAATAAAGCGAGTTTTAGTCGGAAGTGCCCGACTAGGGGATACCCTAAATCATCTTCTACCCACATTGGATGTTAAAGTGGACTAACGACACAATTTCACCCGTCATACTTCCACGGATCGACAAACGACATATGTCCGAGGGAAATAAGGTCGCTTTTAGTTCGTCGGAGCGATGTCGATTTCAAACCTCATATCACCGATTCGGCTATTGAATACAGAATTTATCTTATGGGCTCGCAGATGCTACCTTCTGGCTGTCACATACATTTGCCCGGTTCAGGGTATATATAGTTCTTCTTTAATTTAAGTCAAGCCATGAAAATGAAATTTCTTTGCTGCGCTCCACATGGACAACGCACGACTGTCACGTGCATGTTCCTGTAAATGCGCATGTGTTACATTTAAGTAAGCACTAAGTAGTGCAAAGTAGTTCGCTCCGGGCGTGGTGTCCATCTATGTAACAATTTCGCATTGGTGACAACGTGATTAAACCCTACACAAAGCATTAAAAATCGCCCAAAAGGCATGTGCTGGCCCGGCACAATGCCGAATGCCGAGTGCCGAGCGCCGAGGATCTGCCGTCAAATGAGTGACAGGCAAATTGAGGAGCAACTTTTCACAATGGTCATTAATGTCAGCCTGTCTGGCAGGACATCCTCCCTTCCGCCTCTGCTGTGCAAAACGCACCCTCTCTTTTGTATCGATGTGTCTGTCAGCGGTTGGCTTCAGCTCCGGCTTAAAGCCCCAACAATGCGGCTGTCAGAAGCAAACACAAAAACTGAAAGCTGGACGCAGGACGCAAGACGCGGGATGCGGGACGCATCCATGCAGCCAGTTGGCTGATGTTCATTTATTGCTGCTTTGGCGAATTGACGCCCTTTGTTAGCCATTTCAATGGCCCTTTGTGTGTGTGTGTATGTGTGTGTGTGTGTGTGTGCATATAAAATTGTTATTAATTTTCGGGCCGCGTTTTATTGTTTCCAAATAATTTTTTGCAGATTAGCAACGATTGCAATTTCACATTTTGCCCCCGCAATTAAATTGCAATTTTTGGCCAGCCAAAAAATGCTGCTAAATATGTTTTAAAATATAATATGCAATTAGCAGCCGCAGCAGCAAAGTGCACACACATTCCGCTGCATCGATAACAATAAATCCGCAATGCATTTAAATTGAATTTAGTTCTTTTCAAAAATTCATTTAAATTTGCTTAAATCTGCGCAAAAAGTGCAAAAGGACTAGTCGACTAGGAGATACCCTGGACCTAGAGTTGAGCTGCCATTAAAAATAGTATACTAAATCCTTTTATACAGAGAAATACGTTTTTGAATAATGCTTCGATGCTTATGGTCCGGCTTAAAGATGGGAAGGTGCATTAAAATTCGTTTTTAGGATTCATGTTTACTATTCGAAAGTCTTTTGTTGGTTTGTAGCTTTTATAAGCAAGCCAGTCAATAAGTTAATCTACAGGCTAACAATTTGGAATTTAGCCCATTTGAGAGCTCGCAGAAGTCACCTTCTGCCTGTAACATATCATTTGCATAAAACTATTATACCCGTTAAGTCAATATCCAATGGACTAACTTTCGGGTAAATAAATAAACTGGCAGAACGAAACAAATGCCAAGCCACAAAACGAGTTGGCAGCCCCATGTCCAAACACACCAATACACGCAGACAAATACCCACTCATATACACACACTCACACACAGACATATACACATAGAACAACATACACACACGAGTGCAAAACTTATTCAGTTACGTGGCCAGGCATTAGCGCTTTATGCAAAAACTCATTAAAAACTTTAAATTGAAATAAAATAAAATGCACATTTATATTTATAAATTATATTTACTTATGAATGCCTCACTGCGTTCTACAAACTCGTGACAGTTTGCAGCACAAAGAGGTAGTTAAAAGGGTTTGTAAGCTCGTAACAAGCAGTCGGCATTAAAATCGAAAAATCTTTTCAAAACGGATTATTAATATTGAATAGACCGTAATGCGATTCAATAAGTATCATAGAACGGATTATAATTAATTTGTATTTTTGTTTTGTTTGTTATTTAAACAGACATATTTGAGTGCCTCTGAGTCGACCTACATTCCATTTGTGTTTATAATTCATTAAATATTTTAATTTCTTTTAAATTTTTTACTATTCATATTTTTAGGCTCATGCGAAGACTTTTTGGCTACTCTTTTACTCTTTTAATTTAATTTTATTTCAGTTCATAGTTTTTATAGATTTTAACAAGCTTGGGTACTATCAAAAAATACTACCATATACATGTGCTACTACATATAGCAGAGGCAATTACCCGACTGGCTTTTCCTTAAGGGAGAATCAAACGTGTTTACTTGGTTTTTCCCTAAGCTTAACAGTTAAATAAATTGTTTTTATTTACATTTTTGCAATATTATTTAAGCCTTTTGCAATATGCTTGAAAATCAAACACACTTTTTAATGTTGCTTGCAGTTTATTGTTATTGCCGTGGCATATTATCCGCCGGTTAATCTGGGCCGTTGTGTCGCCCTGGCGGGGTCTTTTCAATTTACAAATAACATTTCGTTGTCGGCAAGTCGCGATTCGGCATTTGGCGCACAAATTTGTAAGAATAACGA